CTGACCCCATCAGTGCCGACCCAACTACACCACCACGCGCATGCCTCGCGGCGGATATGCGCAGCAGCAAGAAGGTTTCGGTCATCCCTTGAGGGTGAGTCTAGCCCTGCTCGCCAGAAAGACCCCCCCCTTCACTACAACCCATGTCTAAGCAAAAGCTTGTCGAGGAGCGAGGGGAAGAAGGGAGAGTGCACTCCGTTGAAGTTCAGGCGGCAGGTAGGTGTGGGAAAATTCAGCGCTCGCTGTGGTTGCAGCCAATAAAACTACCACAGCCGGCTCCTTCTTCGCAAGGGAGGGCGGTTGTAACGGTGTCTGCCCTGCTATCTTGGCTGCGCCGTCTGGGCAATGAAAAAGTGTTGATGATGATGATGGCGCTGTGAGAGTTGCGAGTATGTCCTCCTCCTGTGTTCAGCGGCAGCTGAAAAAATATGCGCTGCTGCTGTTTTTTTCTTCAACAGACCAGATAGTCTAGTCCACTTTACATCAGCTGAAGCACGGAACTCGCTGCAAACCGGCCAGCTGTCAACCAAAGCGTGTCTACCCCACACATCACGACGTGTGTGTGTGCAGGAGGAAAACAGTTGAGAGGTTTCATGCGCATAGCCCATGAGCTCGTTTTGACCAAACAGCAGTGGCTGAGGTGGTTGAGTAGTAGGTGGTGATCTCGAACCTTTCGGTGCGCTTATTACCTGCGTGATGAAGTGGGATTTGTTTCTTGCACTCGCAATGCTGTGTACGTATCGACAACACGAGAGGGAGAGGGAGACGTTGTGTGCGTGCGCCAAGAAACGTAAAGTTCCATTTCACGTTTGACGGGGGGAAGCAGAGGTTGACTCCTGTCCGCGATCCAACTGAACGCAAGCACCGCAGAAGGAAGGAAGGAAGGAAGGCGGAGAATACAAATCTTTCCCGAGAGGCGTTCTTTCTTCCTGGCTGCCTGTGCTACTCACAGCAGCCTGATGCTCCAGAACATGTTCTTGCCAAGAAAGGTGGTACGGCCAACCCCCCAAGAAGAAAAATCGATGACTGTAAATAAGTACGTACCCGAGACTGTAGTTAACACCGGATTATACTTAGACTATTGAGAAAAACAAATTTCATGAGAAAATGTTCGGGCATGTTGGCGCACCAAAAGTGCCAAATAATTTATTTTCGCTCCAACGAAAAACATCCTCGGGCGTCTTTCAAATCGAACACACGCCCTTTCGCCCGAGCTAACACCATCGGCAACGCCGAAAATCACGATGGTTCCGCCGCCAAGGACCCCAAACCGCACCTGGTTCAACACCCCCACCCCCCCTACCCCCGGGCAGACACAGATTTCTTACGAGTTCTTACGCGTGTTTTCCGGTCAAATTCGATAGATTCCCTGACGCACTAGCAAAAAATAAAAATCTAAGCACACGGCACTTCGAAGGTTATGTTATTATGATGGAAAGACCCACAGCCCCTACGACAAGATTTGGGTACAGAGCTCGAAGTTGACAAATGTCGACCATCGTACGGCGCAAAACCGCTAGTACAAATCTTCTTGATCCCCAGAACGCCCCGGTCTCGACATCAATCTAGTCCCTGCTAGGCGCCAGGACTACTCTGAACCATAGCCGTCGTCATCGGACTCGTCTTCCTCAGAGTCCGCTTCCAGACCCGTCGTCGTCCGAGTCACTTGCTTCGCTCTCCGAGGACGACGAAGGTGCAGGCCGGCAAGTCTCCATCAGCACTTTCTTGATTCTCGCCGGGATGGTACCCGTTGAAGTTAGCGAACTGCAGCATGCGATAATGCGTGTGATAGGCTCGTCGCTGGCATCGGGCGTTCTGCGCTCGCGCCGCTCGTTAGGATGAAATCGTTGCTGAAACGCGCCACGGCATAGTCCTCGACAGTCGCGCTGCCCGCTCCCGCCCTAACGGTATTGTTGATAGGCCCATACCAGTGGATGTTGACGTTCACCGGCGAGGCGTCTGCAACTATGCTCACCACCTCCCCCAGCACAAGCGGAGCTTGCTCCGCCTTGAAGAATGCGATGTCGCCAACGCTGGGTGGTGTTTNTGCGATAATGCGTGTGATAGGCTCGTCGCTGGCATCGGGCGTTCTGCGCTCGCGCCGCTCGTTAGGATGAAATCCTTGCTGAAACGCGCCACGGCATAGTCCTCGACAGTCGCGCTGCCCGCTCCCGCCCTAACGGTATTGTTGATAGGCCCATACCAGTGGATGTTGACGTTCACCGGCGAGGCGTCTGCAGCTATGCTCAGCACCTCCCCCAGCACAAACGGAGCTTCCTCCGCCTTGAAGAATGCGATGTCGCCAACGCTGGGTGGTGTTAGCGACGTTGGACGCACTGGGTTTAAGACCTTTCTCTTAGAGGGCTCTGACACCCCGTTCGCCCGAGAGGGTGTGTTGTCCACTCCGTCCGCGGTCGCGCCCGCAGAGGGAGGCAAAGGCGCTGGCGGGATCGCCGTGTGGAGCCATTCCATTGGGAGGTCGAAGTTGTTGATCGTTCCTCCGGAGCGCAACAACTTCAGCGAGTCGCTCTGCTCAGCCAATAGAGCGTCGACCACACCGTCAGGAGCTGCAGAGAAAGTGAGGTTCATGGAGGGACACGCAAGCGAGGGCGCGATGAGATGGCAGTATCAACGTTTACAAGTACGTAGATGTTGTGGGTCATGAGGTCTCCGAGACGAGAACAAGTAAAATCGTAAGATACTTAGACCAAACATCCCGTGAAAATGACTTGTTGTTGTCCTCCGAGCGACCGTAGCTCCGATCTTCGTTGTCAGAATGGTTTAGCCAGGAAGGTAACGCCAATGTTACATTCGAAAGGTGTAACCACTCTCATGCTCTGTGAGGCCGAGCGAAGCACGACCATACTACACATGTGCACACCCCTTACCTAGTGCGTAAGCAGCCTCTAGGCGGGGCCGCGTCGCGATGTAGCGCTTCTCGATGAGGGCGATCACGGTGGGGTCGACCGTCTTGAGCTCAAAAGGAGGCACGTTGTCGAAAGTCGGCGCAGCGAACCGGAAGAGACGGTGTGGGTTGGCGTCGACCTGGGCCCCGCCGGTCGCTGTCAGACCAAGCCAGGCATCGCTGTGCATGAAGCGCTTGGCCCACACGGAAACCTCCCCTGCTACCTTCCCCACTCGGAAGGCCCGAAACGTGGTGATGTTCCGGATCTTCCGAAGGTTGAGCTTGTTGTCGTCGAGGTAGAGCCCCTTGAAGTTGCCGAGGTTGGTCAGAGTCCCTACGTGTACCGGAAGTTCCTTGTACGACTCCGGGAATAACTCACCAAGTTGACTCCTCGTGAAGATGCTTCGACCGAGGGTACCCACGGAGAACCTGTAGGTTTGAGTGGGAGNTTGAGCTTGTTGTCGTCGAGGTAGAGCCCCTTGAAGTTGCCGAGGTTGGTCAGAGTCCCTACGTGTACCGGAAGTTCCTTGTACGACTCCCGGAATAGCTCACCAAGTTGACTCCTCGTGAAGATGCTTCGACCGAGGGTACCCACGGAGAACCTGTAGGTTTGAGTGGGAGTCGTCAGGGCGAGGAGCTCAACCAGGACCACGAAGTAAGAAACACCCCAATAAGATATTTCGAGCAGGACCGCTCCACCACCATGGGAAACGAAGTTAGGTAGAGCGAGTGTGAAAATATTAAACGGCCGTTGAACTCCAGTACCCACCCCTACCCCTATATGTGGGTAAGAGTTTTTGTTGTATCGGGCATGGGTGGCTGTCTTGGATGTCAGACAAATACAGCGATACGCAAGAACCCACCGCAGGTGGCTTCATTAGACTCGAGGGCGAATGGCGGCTGCAACGTGGACGTGGGCTACCTTTTTGGGGGTTGTTTACAAGGTAACCCTCAATATCCCGCAAGGCCCCAAGAAATAAGAACTGCCCAAACAAGCTCAGCAACGAGGCTTGGGCTTCGGCCGACAATAGGAAACTGAGGCTCGCCCCATATCTTACTTGGGGGCGCGTTCTGTAATATAAATCTTGGGTTTCATGGGGGGGACGATATTGAATGCTGAAAAACCGGGGGGTACGCCCAGAAAGCGATCCTCCACCGGGGGGGGGGGCAGCAGGGTGGCCAAACAAGGGGCTCCGATGTTACAAGGGTACTCACCGAGAAAACACTTGGTCGATTTTGATGTGCGTGTGTCCAACGATCAGGAAGCAGACCTCTGCAGAACCGATCACCCCGGCGGCGACCAATCCGCCAATGAAGGCCAGGACGATGTTGTTCTTGTTTTCGCCGACGCAGTTATCGAGCTGAAGGTGGAGACGCTTGATGTAGAACCTCTGGCCAGGCTTGGTCCACATTGCAGACAGTCGTTTGAGGGCCAACCACAGCGCCGTGCACACCAGGTTGCTCCCTGGAAGACCAGACAAAGACGAACACATGAAATATGAACGGACGGTTCAGGGGAATCATGGTCCCCACCAAGCCTGTATCGTTAGTGAAATAACCTACTGTTTCGTTAGTGATTCATCTGTGCACAATGACTGGCTCAGGGACCTTGTGCGGTTCCGCCGAACACGTCTTTTTGGCACTGACAGCTAGGTTGCACATATTCACGGCTCCCTTGGAATTTCAAAGTGGCCCATCACCAGCTGTGTACTTGAGGCCTTCCTGCGACACCCGCACATGAGGGAACTGCCAGAAGGGGTGCCTTGACGCAGGTTTAGAGCCTCTCACCTCCACCTGTTGTCTGCGGGACGAAATGGACGTCCACGAACGCCCCTTCTGCCTGGACGGCCATGACCTTCTGCCGCTCCGAAAAGCCGCTGAAGTCGTGAACGCGAACGGTTGTGCAGGAAGGCGATGATAAGATTGCAGTAGTCGTCACAATAAACAAGGTCCCGTATTCCTTATCCAGTACCTCCTTCTGTCACAATCTCTCTGCCATAATCCAGCATTGTTCGCGGTCAATTCCCGTGGTCACAGGCTAACGTGCATCAAAAGAGGTATCAGCTACAAGTATACGTCGTACTAAAACATAATGAACCCGAAAGGTCAGCACAGGGATAAAATAAGATAAAAGAGCAAGAAGATGAAATAAAGAGCAAGTTTGGAGCCGTCCAACCTCCTCTACACGCGGTGAAGTGAAAATAAAAGGGAAAATAACTGGAACCCGTCAACATCATCAAAGTATGTCGACATATAGATGGATAACAACTCACTCAACAGATGGTGAGATGTTGGAGATGGGGTGGACAATACAGTAGACGTTTATCGACCCATTTTGATTGAGCTTACACGAATCGTAACACCGTTGAATTGGACCAAAATAACTTGTCAATGGCTGCCATTCCATCTGAACCGCAGCGTGCCACTACGAACTAAGGTACTGTTCTCGTGTCACGTACTTATTTTGCCAAGAGACGACCGGAGTACAATCACGAGGGAACCAGATCACTTGCCTCTCAGACACGTGAGTTTGAGGGTGGACGGTCCGTAGCGAATCTGGCAGGCACAGTCTTGTTGAATGGTCACTTGGTTTAGCGGGGTTCCGTTCACCTGCTCTCGTCTGGCGACCTCCATGCGTGACGTCAGGAGTGCTCTGTCCTTCGACACGATCTGCGTCGACGAACGTCGAGGATAAGGCACGTTCATGTAGCCGTCGTGCGGCTTTATGTTGGAAGAGTATCACAAACAATCCATTCCTACACGAACAGGGGAGAGACCACGACACAGGGTTCGCGTGACTCCGTAAGATAAACTTGGATAACGTTCAGGAGCTCTTCGACCTCATGTTGGATCGCCACGGGCCCCTGTGGCGGACGTGAACCAAAACATATCATGTTCTAATCACATCCCAAGCGATCGCGAAAAAGGAGAATGTCCGCTACCACCGGCGGCGAGCGCGGTGAGGGCGTCTACTGGACAACGGAGGCGTCGGTGTTTCCACGCCGCGCAGGGGAGAGACGGAAGAGTCAAGAGGAGGAAAGCTAGCGTAGGCGCCAGCCTGTGCAAGCGGCCTATCATGAACGACGCCAAACACATCAACACCATGACCATGGGTTGCTCATCAATGTAACCAGGAGGGGGGCATTCACGCGGGACAGGAATCAAAACCGGGGCAACCGACAACTGTAGGGCAACAAACTATTACGGGAAAGTGCCGACAGGCGCGTGTGTGCTTGTTTTGTGGCCGCCTGGTGTCCCTGCCGAACTTACATGGTGGTGTTCCTTTTGGTGACGAACAATCTCCGCCCTCTGCCGGGTGTCTTGGATCGGTCTGATGCCGGGGGCACCGTGCAGTTTCTCGTTGATTTCTGTGCAGTCGCTACATTTCATGAAATCCCCAAACCTCGCTAGCTTGATCAACGGTTTCTCTTCTCGCCATATCTGATTGAAGGCTGCTGAATCCTGAGTCGACCTCTCCGTGCACATGGCGTGGGTGCTCCGCAAAACGGGCGTACATCTCCTGCAGAAAGGTGTGGTACATGCGA